GAGCAGCTTTTGGGCTGTTTGGAGCAGGAGCAGCATGGCTCATGTCAGTGGTGATGTCCAGGATCTTGAAAGGTCCAGGAGCAGAGTGATTTAATTTGGTTTTGAGGCAGGCGGTGTGTCAGGCACCTGAGATATTCCCTGAGGTTTACAGGGGCTCATTTTGGAGTCCATATCCAGTTTGTTCAGCTCCAGGTATCTGAGGTGCAGAACTGAGGCTTAAAAAAATCCATATTTCACAATGGTTTTTATGTGTATTAAACAATTGCTGCAGGCTAGGAGCTGTCACACAGTCCTTCCCTCTAACCTGGTACCAGGATGTTTTCCTGTCTCAGCAGTTAATCCCAAACACCCAAAAAAGAACAAGAAATCCCAAAAACCACCCAAAATCCCAAAAAAGTCCTTTTCCCAGTTCCCCAAAGCCACTTCTAAAAATCAGCTTTATGTAGAATTGCAATGCTTTTGACCCAAGCAAGTGTAAATTTTTTTTTTGCAATAGTTTGTTTATTCAGTAGGCAGCAGACTACAAAAAAGAAAATCAGAATGAACCAATAGTTACCTCAAATGGTTTGTGATCCTTCTGTGCCAGATTCCCCTGATCTTGATTGTTAAAGGCCAGAGCTCTGAAGCAGTGAATCATTAAGGTTTGCCATCCACATGATTTACTATAAACAAGGTTTAAGTTCCAGCTATTCCCCTGCTTAGACTCTATCTTGAAAACTTAACCTCTGGCATCAGATCTGGTTTCTTCATTCAGGACTTGGAGGTTGTTACCAAACCAGTTTGTCCGAGAGGCTTTGGCATCTTGGGGTTTATTTGTTTGTTTGTTTGTTTTTTGAAGAGCGTGGCTTCAGCTTGGTTTTCTGGGGGGGCTGGTGGAACATGTGTAGGATGATTTAGTAAATTTATTTTTTTTTTGGTAGCAGGGATGGAGCTGTGCTTCCTCTGGCAGCTCAGAGCTGTGCTGCTGTTTCTGCTGAAATTTAGGAATTTATGTCTAGTGGGGGTTTTGCACAGGAGCGGCTTTGGGCCTACTACTGGAGAATCAATTTGTGATTTTTTTTTTTTTCCCTGAAAGCTGATTTATGTGTTTTTTTGAAACCAGGTTGTCTGTGTTATAATTGATGGCTCAACTTTGCTCTCCTTCTTCTGGGATCAAACCTGCCTTGCCTTCCTACTGAATGGTTGATTAATTCCCCTGTCCTTGCAGAAGAAATACTATCAAGAGAAGCTGTGGAAAAACACTTATTACTTTGCTTAAAACTGCTTCTTGTTGTCTTGGTAACAATAAATTTATGGGGTGACTTAAGCTGCTACTGCATGAACAGGAGATAGAAACTGCTGAAAATTCAGAGGCATGAAAAGATGGAGAAACCTCCAAGTAAAAAGCCCATTTTGTTTCAGGTGTTCTTAATTCCTCATTATTCTCTTTGATCTTTGAGGTGTTAAAAAGAAGGAGCTTAGATACCATTTATCACTTAAAAGCTAAATTGAAGTAGAACCTGAAAAATAATTAAGTGTGATTTTTCTCTAAATGTGGGAAAAAGCAGCTGATGAACCATGGCTGTTGTACTTCCAGCTCTGCTAGATGTGTATTTTTATTTCTTCGAAAGCTTCACTCATTTCTTTTTAGATTCACCTTTAGCCAACCTTTGTTCCTTAACACATCTTTTCAGAATATTTGGAGTTGTTAGCCTTTGGTCACCTTTTCTGTGAGGAATCTGTGTCAGGATGGGAGAGAGGGAGGTTTGGACTTTGTGGGGGTGCTCAGATGGTTGAGTTTTGTGGAAATTGGAAGATCTTTGAGGAAGATCTTTGAGCAGCTTTTGGGCTGTTTGGAGCAGGAGCAGCATGGCTCCTGTCAGTGGTGATGTCCAGAATCTTGAAAGGTCCAGGAGCAGAGTGATTTAATTTGGAGTTTTTGAGGAGAGGGATGAGAGCTGGGAACTCCAGGGCTGCAGTGACCAGCAGTGCCAGGACACAGGGAATGGCTCCACTGAAAAAAATGAAATTTAGATGGGATCTTGGGCAGGAATTGTTCCCTGGCAGTGCCCAAGGCCAGACTGGGCAGGGCTGGGAGCGCCTGGGACAGTGGGAGGTGTCCCTGCCATGGCAGGGCTGGCACTGGATGGGATTTAAGGTCTTTCCCAACCCAAACCATGCTGGGGTTCAGATCATCCTCTCAGAATCCTTGCTGCCTGTGGATCTGTTCCTCTGCCAGGCAGGACCCTGAATTTCCTCAGTGCTGGGCGCCCACCATGGGTGGCTCCTCCACACCAAGTTCCTTCACTCTGTTCCTGCACAAAAGGAAAATTTCCACAGCCTGAAAAAGCAGCCACAGCCCTTTTGTTCTTAAGTGGGGAGGGAAGACACTGAACCAGCTGTAAACAAAAGAGAGAATCCTTTGGTGGATGCAGTCTTCAAAAAGGAAAAATTGAGGAAGAATCCACCTGGATTTGAACATTGGCTCTTTCCTCTTTGAACACAGGCTCTTTCCTCTTTGTGTCAGTGTATGTGAAGCTCACCAGCTACAAAACCACCACGTCACAGCTCCAAGGGATCACCCAGCCCTTCAAAACTGACGTGGACACAAGCATTTCACAGCAAGGATTGTCTGACTCCTCCTGGTTTAACACAGGGGTTAAAACCGAATTCTATGGTGTGGTTGATGTTTTTATGAAGTTGGTTTCAAAAGCCAGGCTTTTCCTGGCCATCCCTCAGTGCAGATGCCCCCAGCCCTGCTCAGGGTGCCGCTGAGGGTGCAGGGTTTGTGCCCAGCCCCTGGGAGTCACCTCATTCTGCCCAAATTGATGAAAGGCACCGGCAATTGTGCTCGGGGCATTCATGCATCCCTTCAGCCACAGCCTCGAGCTCTGACTCTCACAAGTAATTCCTGCTCTGTATTTTTTGACCTTTCCTTTCCCTGTCCATTCCAGCAGGCAGTGCATTGTCCTGTGGTGGTGGGTGCCACCCCAACACAGCTGTGCACCCCAAAAATAATAATTATTAAAAAAAAAAAGAACCAAGATGTTGCATTTTGAATTTATCTGGTAATTTTAGCTGCACTGGGGACTTCAGTTGAATTCAGTCTTTCAGTTTCTTACGTGTCCCTCTGTTACTTCTCCTTTCACTGACCTGACCTGCCATGCACTTGCCTCTTTGGAAATACCAATGTTATTTATTGCAAATAAATATCCAGAGCATTTGAGCTCAATCTGTTGCTCTCCCAGGTCTTTAATCCCAGGTTGGGATGTGCAGCAGTACATTTTGGGGCAGAGATTTGTTGCTGGCTGGTCATCAGGTTCCTTTTCCCACTTTTTCCAAGTATATCCTTAATCCTTGAGGCACCGTGTGCATTGGCTTTTTTCTTCCAGAAAGCAATTTATGAAATGACTTGGATATAGTGCCAAAAAATCCCATTGGGCAATAGCGTTGCTGCAAATCCCATATTAGTATTGCCAAATTTTATTTTTTCTTGCAGTCAGTGGAGCAAATTTTTGAATAATTAATTAGATATTTGCATAGAATTTGGTTTTAACCCTTGTGTTAAACCAGGAGGAGTCAGACAATCCTTGCTGTGAAATGTTTGTGTCCACATCAGTTTTGCAGGGCTGGGAGATCCCTTGGAGCTGTAATGTGGTTTTATAGCTGGTGAACTTCACATACAGTGACACAAAGGGGAAAGAGCCTGAGTTTTCTGTTCTTAATTGGGGAGGGAAGACACTGAACCAGCTGCAGACAAAAGAGAAAATCCTTTGAGTGGATGCAATCTTCAAAAGGAAAAATTGAGGAAGAATCCACCTGGATTTGAACATTATGGTCTGGTTGATGTTTCTATGAAGTTGGTTTCAAAGGGGTTGTCACAAAAGGGTTTTTGTTTTGTTTTGTTGTGCTGTAGAGGCGTGGGGCTGCAAATTTCCTTCTTGATTTCTTACCTGTGCTTAGAGTTGAAAAAATATTTCCCTATTCAAACTTTTTCCTTTTGCTGGTTCCTGGATTCCTATTATTGAGTTTACCTTCTAATTTATGCTCCATGCATTTGTTCACTTTGCCAGTTCTTTGGTTCCTGCTTCTATGAAATAAACTGCCCAGGTAGCCAAGAGAGGGAGATTTGCACCCTTGAGAAAATAATCACCAAAAAAAACCCCAACACCTCATCTGAAAAGAATGCTCAGGGCAAAAATTACTAATGTAGTAAATTACTCCTGTCAGCAGAGTCTGGGCAGGAGCGTGGGCTGTGCTCCTGTGCATTTCCAGGTTTTTCTGCTCCCTTCCCAAGCTCTACCGTCTCTGGCCATTATTCTTTCCCATCTTCCCCTCCCTGCCACCATTCTGAATGCCTCCCTCTAATCCCCTGGCATGAATTGCTCAATCTGAGATGAGGTAGGTGTGGAGAAAACAGCCCAGCCATCTCTTCCCTTTGTGATGTCCCAGCACTGCAGTCGTGATAGAGGCAACAGGCAGGCACTCAAGATGGCAGAAAAAATGATGAAATATTCTTGTTTTGTAACTTTATACCAGGGAATGTTCCCCACTGTGTATTTCTTAACACTTAAAGCTTGAGGGCCACAAGTCCCCAGCGGAGCTCGGTGCGGTCGGACAGAACCGAGAGTTTGGAAAACTCCAACAATTTAATAAATGAATTCTCCTTTGCCTCCCAGTTTGCAGGAGCATGGACATCCGAAACAACCTGACCAGGCTGAACATGCTGGAGAACTGCACCGTGATCGAGGGCCACTTGCAGATCCTGCTGATGTTCAAAACCAAACCCGAAGATTTCCGCGAGCTCAGCTTCCCCAAGCTGACCATGATCACAGATTACCTGCTGCTGTTCCGTGTCTATGGCCTGGAGAGCCTGAAGGGCCTCTTCCCCAACCTCACTGTGATCAGAGGGACTCACCTGTTCTTCAACTACGCCCTGGTGATCTTTGAGATGGTTCACCTGAAGGAAATTGGCCTCTACAACCTGATGAACATCACCCGGGGCGCCGTGCGCATCGAGAAGAACAACGAGCTCTGCTACCTGTCCACCATCGACTGGTCCAGGATTTTGGATTCTGTAGAAGACAATTACATCGTGGCCAACAAGGATGACAAAGAGGAGTGTGGAGATGTGTGCCCAGGCACTGTGAAAGGGAAGAGCAACTGTCCCCCCACGGTGATAAACGGGATTTTCATCGAGCGCTGCTGGACGCACGATCGCTGCCAGAGAGGTCAGTGCGCGCTGAGGGGTCTCAGGTGGGGCTTTGCTGTCAGATTTTGACCTGTCAGGACCTGTGAGGCCCTGATCCAGGCTGGCCCTGGGTCCCTGGAAGTGCCCAAGGCCAGGTTGGACAGGGTTTGGAGCAGCCTGGGATGATGGAAGGTGTCCCCCCATGGCAGGGTGGCACTGGATGGGCTTTGGTGTCTCTTCCAACCCAAACCACTTTGGGGTTCTTGGAGGCCTGACCGGTGCCTCCTGACCTGTAAGCACAGATTGGGCTGAAAATTGACCTTAAATTTTCAGCAGGGCTGAAAATTGACCTTAAAAGAGGAACAGAAAACCTTTGGGATGGGTTTGAGCAGTTCTTCCCTCTGTGTTTATAAGGCATCCAGAATTCTGTGTTTGGTTCTCCTGCAGAGTCAGGAGCTGCCCAGAATTCACCATTTTAATGGACTGGGAGTGTTTTGGATAACACTTGGTACTCTGAGTGTCTTTATTGGGGTTTGGGGAGGGAATGAAAGTCCAGACTGACTGAGAGGCTGCAGCAGGTGGAAGCACAACAGTGGGGAAAATTCTCATTGAAATAAACCCCATTCTGCAAAGGGGCAATTCCATCTTCACCAAAACCTTCCTGCCATAAAAAGGTGTGAGATGTGGGGATGAGTGAGCAACATTTGCTCAGAGAAGAAGCTGGAGTCAGACCTAAAGGAGAAAAGAGGACCTGGATGGGGTAGAGGGTGAAATAACAGAGCTTTGAGCCCAGGGCAGAAGCTGTGTTCAAAAAGCTCACTGCTGTTGCCACCCCAAATGTATTGGAGCTGCTTTTAATTTCATACAGATTTGTTTTTTTTCCAAACTTGGAACTGACCTTAAGCTTAGCTTTAATTATATATTGGCTTTGATTTATGTTCAATCTGACTTGACAGGGAGCAAAGTGAATTGAGGTGAGAGTGACACATTTAGGGTTGTCTGCCTTTCTGGAGGTCGTGCATCCAAACGAACCAGTGTGTCCTGAGACGAAATTAGGAAACTTGTGGGCTGCACAGAAATTCTTGCCAAGCTTTAAAGGGCAGCTCTGAGTGCTAAGTGCCAAATTTGAGGAGGAATTCCTCCCAGTGTGCACAAACTAATGCAATTAATGTGGTTTCCCCTCTGCTACTCCTCACCCCAAAATCGTCCAGCTTCCTTTTAAAGCAAGTGGTTATTTTTTGTGGCCAGAATAACAGGGTATGAGCAAGAAGATGCAAGTGTGTACGTGTGTTCCTTATTTTAAAATGAAAAATAAGATTGTAAAGCATTTTATTTATAAACCTTCAGGTATGCATTTACATCAGCACTGAAACCTGGTTTCTTATGCATTTCATGTGCTGTGTTTGCTGCTGTTTCATAAGGGTAAAGGTCTAATTGGCACTTTTTTATTGCCTAGAACATAATGCCCCAAAATTCCTGTGAATTTTCTGGGGCTGTTTTGGAACAGACTGGAATTGATGGTTTTCTCTTCTTTAAAAACTACCTATTTCCATAAAACCTGGAGAAATGGAATATTTTAATGATAATATTTTACTATTGGGACAGAAATCTGAACTCCTGAGCTTCTGATGCAAGAGTTTGTTGGAGGGCACCTGTCCAGCACCTGCCTCAGCGCAGTCTGACCCAGAAATTAGGATTTCAATCAGAAAATGGTTTCAAAAAGCAATATATACAGAGCTCTGGTTTTGTGTGTCCCTTGCAGAAGGAACAGTAGGGAAGCCACGCTCCTGAATATTCCCAAAATCCCTGTGAATTTTCTGGAGCTGTTTTGGAGCAGAGTGGAATGGATGGTTTTCTCTTCTTTAAAAACTACCTATTTCCATGAAACCTAGAGAAATGTAATATTTTAATGATAATATTTTATCATTGGGGGAGAAATCTGAAGGAACAGTAGGGAAGCCGTGCTCCTGAATATTCCCAAAATCCCTGTGTAATTTCTGGGGCTGTTTTGGGGCAGACTGGAATGGATGGTTGTCTCTCCTTTTAAAAACTGCCTGTTTCCATGAAACCTGGAGAAATGTAATATCTTAATGATAATATTTCACTATTGGGACAGAAATGTGAACTCCTGAGCCTCTGATGCAAGAGTTTGTTGGAGGGCACCTGTCCAGTACCTGCCTCAGCTCGCTCTGTTTGACCCAGAAATTGAGATTTCAATCAGAAAATGGTTTCAAAAAGCAATATATACAGATGCTCTGGTTCTGTGTGTCCCTTGCAGAAGGAACAGCAGGGAAACCATGCTCCTGAATATTTGGGCAGTGACTGGAATGCACTTCCCAAAGCACTTAACAAGCCAGGCTTATCTTTGTTTGAACGCCGCGATTTGGACTTTAGTTTTTTTGGTGGCCGCTGTTTTGCACAGGCTGGGATCTGAGTGATCCCGTGCCTTGTGACACCTGCCCTGTGCTTCTGCTGCTGTTTTGACAGCCTGAGAGGGTTTTTAAACCTTTTTTTGTCTGTTTGTGAGCAGCCTTTGGACTCTGAGCGCACGCCAGTGGTGGAGATTAAGTGACATTTATTTAGCCAACCTGCAATCGCTGCCTCTCTGTTCTCCTGCCAGCCCTAATGTATCCTTAGCATGTGTAATTGTTTTGTCAAGATTATGAAAAGCTTGTGTGAATTGTATTTTGGCTTTCCTTAGCCTGAAGAGCCTCACAGCAGCTCCCAGTTGTTGCAATGTATTTGCAAGGGTGCAGAGGATGCACCAGGCCAGGCTGCTCCTGAGTTTGTTGTTAAAGCCTCAAGAATTGGTCAAAGCTATTAGAACAAAAATTGTGCTAAATTAAGAAAGAAGAGGCTGAGAAACTGAATACCAACACCACAAAAACGAGTTAGCAGAAAACTGTAAAACACCTAAACTATAACCAATCATATACTCCAAAAAATGCAAACAAAACCCAAAACTATTAGAACATAAATTGTGCTAAATTAAGAAAGAAGAGGCCGAGAAACTGAATACCAACACCACAAAAACTAGTTAGCAGAAAACTGTAAAACACCTAAACTATAACCAATCATATGCTCAAAAAAATACAAACAAAACCAAGTGAAAAAGGAAAAACACCAATTGAAAAATATGTATTTAGTAGTTTAAAAAATCTATAACAATATTATAGAAACAATAAACAGTAAACAGCTTCTACTTGACCATATTAATTGTTTAAAATTCCTAATTTTCCTACAATACCCAGTACCCAGGGTATTAATGTAATGAAATCTTTCCCTCTTTGTTTCTGCAGCTTATCTAGGAATCTTCAGTAGTTAATGCCGTGCTGAAGTCTCCTGGCTCTTTGGATTTAAATGTATTCTCTTTAATTTTTTCTGTAAAAAAAAAAAAATTGTAACCAATCATATACTCAAAAAAATACAAACAAAACCCAAGTGAACAAAACAAAAACACCAATCAAAAAGTGTGTATTTAGTGATTTATAAAATCTATAAAAGTGTAATAGAAACAATAAACAGCTTCTACTTGTTCATATTAGTTGTTCAAAAGTCCTAAATTTCCTACAATACCCAGAGTATTAATATCATTAAATCTTTCCCTCTGTGTTTCTGTAGTTTATCTGGGAATCTTCTGCTGTACTCAAGTCTCCTGGCTCTCTGGATTTAAATGTATTCTCTTTAATTTTTTCTCTTTATCTTCTAACCAGAATGAAATGCAGCAATTTCGGTATCATTTTCAGAGGGAACTTTGGTTTTGTGTGGAGTTTTTAACCCAGGTTATTTGTACCCCTGGTTTGTTTAATGAAACTTGGTGTACAATCTCCTGGTTCTGCTTTGGTTTTTTATTTTTTTTTTAATAATTTTCTTGCATCTCTGGATGGGAAGTTGTTGCACTGGGACTGGGAAAAACCCTTCAAGGATATGTAAATATTGATTGTTTTGATTTTACAGAGTGGGTGTCAATTGACAGAGACAAGTCCCAAGTTGACTGGCTTTTCCAGCTTGCTGAGCTTGGAGTCTCGCTGGAAAATATTAGGAAATGGGCAAGAAATTTGGGAGAGCACCTGTGGGAAGGCTGGAAAATGAATTCCCTGACAGGAGGGGACAGCCAGGTGGGGATTGGTCTCTTTTTCAAGGGGTAAGGGACAGGATGAGAGGAAATGACCTCAAGTTGCTCCAAGTGAGGTTTAAATGGAAAATTGGGGAAAAATTCTTTGTGGAAAAGGTTGTGAAGCATTGGAGGTGTTGGAGTTCCATCCCTGGAGGTGTTCAAAGGCAGTGAGGGTGTGGCACTTGGGGACAGGGGTAGGGGTGAGCATTTGGGATTGGGGACAGGGGTAGGGATAAGCATTTGGATGTGGCACTTGGGGACAGGGTTAGGGATGAACATTTGGGACTGGGGACAGGGTTAGGGATGAACATTTGGGGACAGGGTTAGGGGTGAGCATTTGGGATTGGGGACAGGGTTGGGGGTGAGCATTTGGGGACAGGGTTGGGGGTGAGCATTTGGGTTGGGGACAGGGTTAGGGATGAACACTTGGATGTGGCACTTGGGGACAGGGGTAGGGATGAGAATTTGGGATTGGGGACAGGGTTGGGGGTGAGCATTTGGGGACAGGGTTAGGGATGAGAATTTGGGATTGGGGACAGGGTTAGGGCTGAGCATTTGGATGTGGCACCTGGGGACAGGGGTAGGGATGAACATTTGGGGACAGGGTTAGGGGTGAGCATTTGGGATGTGACATTTGGGGACAGGATTAGGGATGAACATTTGGGTTTGGGGACAGAGTTAGGGATGAACACTTGGATGTGGCACTTGGGAACGGGGGTTAGGGATGAGAATTTGGGATTGGGGACAGGGGTAGGGATGAGAATTTGGGATTGGGGACAGGGGTAGGGATAAGCATTTGGGATGTGGCACCTGGGGACAGGGGTAGGGATGAACATTTGGGGACAGGGTTAAGGATGAGCATTTGGGACTGGGGACAGGGTTAGGGATGAGCATTTGGGGACAGGGTTAGGGGTGAGCATTTG